TCGATACGACTGCGGTGCGAATGTTATTGTTATTATAAACAATATTTTTTAATCTTTTGTCAGATTTTTACATTTTAAAGGTAATACAATTATGTTGTTTTCTTTACCTGTGCTTTATTTGTACCGAATGGTATTTCTTTGAAAACTAATATGAGACGGAAAAAGAAAGACGGTTGAAGTTTCTTTAGAATATTAACTACACCCATAATATCTGCAATGTTAATTTTGTATAAGTTGCGAATGTTAATAGAAGAATCGGAAGCTTAATCCTAGTAAAAGTCAAGTTTCTTTAAAACATTTCTATTAAGAAAAATCATTTGGTAATTAAATTAGCCATAATAATCACCTATATAATTCATCCACCAATTTGTGAGAAAGATTTTCTTAACTATAATTTATGAAAGCAGTGGGTTTCCACTGTACATACACTTATATCTTCAAATATTGCCATCTCTTACATTCTCTTTCATAAGACAGAGACAACAAGATATGTTTAAACAATTATCGCGGCAGTTGAATTCCGCGTTTATATAAAGAACACAACGTACTGCCTCATATTTCAAAACAAACAAAACACTATCATCTAACAATTATCAAGTACGATAGATATGTTACAAATAGCGTCACGTTATTAATAAATAACGTTTCGCATGTGTTGTGAATCTGAAGGGTTAATTAGCGTACCCCGCGGGACACTGCGCACGCGCACGCGCGACGTATATCTTATCTGTTGCGTTTGCGCACGATTCCACAGCGCAAGTTGTACTTGATACAGACAGGGATTTATGGTTGTTTCGTACATTAACTACTACTATTTACATGCGTTGCACAATATTGTCTAGATCTTCGTTAAATATGAATGCATTTAGCGAGCGTTATTATTGTATTATACAATTTGTATTCATATCTTTTGAAATATGCGATTGGAATATATTGCAGAAATTTGTTTTGCTACAGCAATAAATATGTGTGCTAACTGGTGGTTTCTGAAAGCAAAATCTGTGTATAAAACATATTGTCATCTCAGTCCTCGTGATCTTAAACAAAACAGACATAATATATTTTAAAGGTGATTTTGATCTTGGAAACCCACGGTAAGTCATTTAATTAGTTGTAAATAAATGTGTATTTGTATTATAAATAATTTGACATGCCTAAGGTTCCCATACAAGAAAAGAAGAATTTATTTGTCCAGTTGCGACGAGTGTCGATATTCCGATAACCTCCATCAAAATGGTTAAAGTCGAAAAGCCGAAAGTTAAGTCGTAATGGAGACTGCATGTGAATTACTTACCGATAATATCAACATTCTTGTAAATCGAATAAAAAAGAATAAGTGAGAATAAACGTCACGGAACTCTCGCATAAATAGAAACAAGAAAAAAAATAAGACAAAAAAAATAAATGTTAATTTTATAAATATCTTTATTTCGCAAACACTTTTGAAGATTTTTTTTAAGAATTATTTAATGGTATATGTCAATGATGACAACTTAATAATATAGAAAGTCTGATATTAAAATATTAAAATTATGTTCGTCATAAATATCACGGTTGATTTTATGTCTATATTTAAGTGTTTAAAATAATACTTGAATGAGCTTTTAAACTAATAGACAGGTATTTTATTTCATTTATGATACCGTTATGTGAAAAATTTATTACATACTTTGATTTAATGGACTTCACCTTTAACCACCACAAATCATCTATTTAATATAACGTCTATATTTGTTTTATCACATTCTAAGTATTTTTCTAACGCTATTTACTTTTTTTAAATTATAATTGCCAGTAAACTATGACTTAGCACAAAGAAATACCTTTAAATCCTTGTTAATTTCACGTTTACTACATGTCAAATTGATTTTAAATGCATGGTTTAGCCACTGCTGTTCGTAAAGATACACTGATAAATATAATATAAGCTTAGAAATTACTGCTTTTTTCGTTCCGATCTGACCGCTCCTGCTGATGTTACGCGACAGTTAATTCTATTTTTGTTATTAGTACGGATCCATACCAACGCACCAAATCGTTACCATCAGCGCCAAAATGGCGAAACACAAATAGGCACAAAATATCACGCCTTATAGCCAGTCCATTTATAGAGGTCAGTGTAACGCTAGCAATGACTTGAGGCGTATGAATGAAACAAAAAAATACCTATTTTATATCAATAAATGTGGGGTGTAATAAAAGTTTTTGAATGTCACAGTATATTTAGTACCAATGATAACATGTTAGATAAGAGATTAAGAAAATTCAAATGCATAGTTATTGAGTACACGTTTACTTTCTTGGTGGCGTGGACAGCGCAATCAACTCGCTAGCTTGCGAGTCAAGACACGTGTCATATTAAGTGGGTGAGGAGAGCGTGTTGAATTGACGTGTACCATGCAAAATGCCAGGTTTTTCCATGCACCTCGGAAATACAAGTTTCGTTGTATGTGTTTGTTGATGTGAATTTTAAACATTTTAAACATTGGGAGAGAATTTCTAACACTTATATGTCATTTAAATTTCTTTAAGTGGAATTTCATTGAATATTACCTAACTATGAATAAGGTAAACATATTACAGAAATGTAGTCAAGTAGAGGTTATAAATACGACAGATTCCTTTATTATTGTTATCTCGTAGTTAAAGATTAATTGATGTTTTTAATTAATATTGCAATTAGCACCTTCTATATTTCATTACCTTAAGTATTTTAACTTAAAATTTATAAATCTTTTACCCTTGTGGAGTAGAAATCTTAAACAAACGGCCGTAACATGAAAACAGCTAATTAAACTAGACCAAAATCCGATATCAGGAACATCGTGGCGTCACGAAACCCCGAGCCACCTAATAAAGTAAGCAGTCTCACGTTTCTAATTAGATCGTTAATTATAAGCCTTTCATGGCGGCCTTAATTTTCACATAAAGGTCTATCTAAAGCCAGCTTAAATTTTGACCGGATTATCTTGTTGGGATAATTTTTTTTTTCATATTTTTAACAGTTCAGAAACAACAGAGATCACTTTAGCTACTATGGCATTTGTCACAGAGATCTATTTCCATTTTCAAAAAATACGAAAATTGTCATAAAGTTATGAATACAAACACACCCTCTCGCCAATGTAAGACGCAGTTACCCCGTCGTGCGAGCAAATAGGTAACAAATAGTCGTCCCTCCAGGTGGACTCCGGTCATTACTCTTTCTCTAATCCGCCGAATACACCCTGATTTATAACGGCCCTACCTACCTACCGCTAAATTTAAGTGTAATATAAAAAAATGAAGCTTAGTTTCTTGAGTCATAAATAATAGACGAAATCCCGCGGATACTAACGCTTGCGTAATGGCGTATCTCCCGTTACAAATGTTGGTGTAACAAACAGGAAACCGTATTTGAAGTTTATAGTAAATCAACTAGTACTATTTTTTTGGTAATATATGTATTACCTATTGAATTTCTAATAGTAGAATAAAAAATATTTAATTCTTCTCTGATCTGTCTGTCTTGAGACATTTGAAGAAGAAGTGTAATTATATTGTACATTGCAGCCAATAAGAACTGTATAATTATTAGGAAACTAGCAGACCCGACAGACGTTGTCCTGTCTACACGTCTTTAATTTGAAAATTTCGAATTTTTTTTAATAAGCTAAAATTAAAATTCGAATATTATTTAAAATTTGACACTGCGATGGTACACACAGTAGCGCCGTCTGTCGGATCCAATGTAAAACATTCCAAAATCAACAACTACTAATAAATTAAAAATTAATTAAAAAAACATTGTCCAGCGGACAAAATTGTGAATCTAAACTATTCCCAGATCCCCTTGAACACACACAAAAAATTTCATCAAAATCGGTCCAGTCGTTTGAGAGAAGTTCAGTGACATACACACTCACAGAAGAATTATATATATAAAGATTGTACTTCTAAGCAGTTGTCGTGAATTATTGACATAAAATTATTAAACCTTTATCTCTAGGATGTTGTACTCGTGGAAAGGCCGAAGTTAGAATGTCTGTTATGACGTCATAATGTTTTTATACACTGCTAGATTTAACCTTAAATAAACCTTGGAGATATGGACAGTGTTTTCAATGTCATCCGAAGGTTATACGAGGACATAGAATCATATTTTATGCTTAAGGAACAATTAGAATTACAAAATTTGTGTATATATTTTAAAATAAAGACATTAGATAAAAATATTGTTTGATGTAATAAAATAAAATGATGGTAAGTATTATAAATAAATTTGTTATTTCTCAAGTAATAGAGTATATAAAATAATTCATACAATTCTTTTGGGGAAATTTTAAAACGTAGATAAAGTCGAAAATCCCGCAGTAGAGAATCGAACCCCACATCCACGGCGGCTCGCAAGCAAACTTCCTGTTTGGCACGACAGCCAGGCTACTCCTCAATATAGGTATCTTCCAGAGCATTATTCGGCACTATATTTGCTTTAATAATCCGCATAAAATTTCAGCCAACTCCTCAAGGGTTTGTCATAAATTCAAAGGAAACAACACTTCGTTTAAAAATTATAGCTACTGAAAAAAAAAAAAAGTGTTATATCTCTTAAATAATATCTTGTGAGACGAAAATCTCTGTATAAAATATATCGTCATCCCTATCTTTCATTTTCAACAAAACAGAGAGGACAACATTTTTAAACGGCAATTTTGGTCTCGACAACCCATGGTAAAATATTTTTTGCTTTTCGCGGTCATAAACAATTTACTTGACTTTAAACTTTCTTAAAAATGTTTTTCTCGTAGTTTATTGGTAAAGTCTACTTAGCCATCAAGATGGTTGAGTTTTGGCTTTGGTCAATCAGATTTTATCTTCCTGAGTCTTATTATCGTATCACAAAATGCAACTAATAAGTTTCACTCAAATCTTCAGAATACTTGTAGAATACTGTAGGACTTATATGGTTAATAAGAAGAAAAAAAAAACAATTTTACAGTAACAGAATTTTTATTTAATGCATGTTTCGTGTCGCACTGGCGCCGATATTGTACAAAAAATTATAATATCCATTTCGATTCAATAGATATTCATAGTAATATATATGTACGTATATAATATTACACAACGCTCCACACAAATACAATTATAAAACACAAAAAAACGTTTAAATCATTTTATATTATAGAATCCCTCGAGGTTTTAAGTATTTCTCTTCGCCTATTACTATTTAATATTAATTATATTACATTACAATAAATTGGGCCTAACTAATATTTACTTATGACAAATGCTTCATTAAGGACAATTTACGTATAACATTCATGAGCATGTACCAAATTAAATAAATAAAATATATTTATTTGATTGTTAAACAATAAAAAAAAATATTCGAAAGCCGATGATCGTGTTTTCAAAACAAGTGTACAAATTTTGATTCTCACAAGTAAAATTAATTCATAACAGATATAAGGATTAATTTTATAAATAAGTAATTCAATATTTACAATATTTAACAAAAAAAAAATATGATTAAGCAATGATTTGGCGCAGATTCTTTCATTATAACCAATTTTCACATTTCTTCAAGATAATTCAATGAATGAATTTAATATTAAATTAGTAAATTTTGACGAAATCAAATAATTTGGCACTTCAAGCTTGATGGAATTATAAATTTACATCAGAAAGAATCTCGACCAAATTTCGCTCGACAAATCCTAAGTTAAGAAGACAAGTTACGTATATGTTTATAGGAATCCAAAAATATTACTACTACTGTATCTTAAAAATAAATTATAATATTACTTATATTAATTAGCTATTCGTATACTGGGCACAACTAGTATTGATTGTTGTCATTTTCTCAAAGTGACTATAGGTAAACTATTTTACTAAGTATAAGTTAAGCTATCGACTAATAAATGGAATATTTTTCGTACTAAAGCCTTTGTAGTTACGTATTTAGGATTTATGACATGACGCAATATTTAGCTATCGTGATTTAAGACCTTCTAATTAAATGAAAACTTGAATATAACAACTTCGAATTGATTTAAAACATTCTGATAAATAAATCAATTTAGAACTTCGATAAACCTTGATAACTTACTTATATATTCAAATATGTTATAGTGATTTAACGTGTCTGAGATAAGGTTAAATAAAATTATCATTAAGGTCTAATTCTTCTTTTAAATCTAATATTCAAATAGCTATATAAATGGAGCGTCATGTCAAAAGAAAATAATATTATACACATAATCTGCAGCGCAGATATCACTATTATTATGCTCGATGACCGTATACAGACGTTGTACATCAGATTTCATATTCAATATTTACAATAAGCAATCTCTTTTCAATACACGCGACATAATCTCATGTAATTTTACAATCCGAAAATACTTTACAAAAAAGTTGAATCTGTCACAAGAAATTTCCACAAGATCAGATAAAAAACATATTTTATTATACAAATATGGTATCTTAGCCCACACTAAATCGCATTTATTTATGTATTTATACTATGTTTAAACGTTTTGTTCTAATTTATGACAATATCTAGAGAGTAAACAATTCGTAATTCAGGAAACGAAAGTTCAAAAGCGTTGAATATCAAAATAGTCGCACATCGATAAGAACACAGAGACGGCGCGTAGAACTTACAACCAGTTGTGGGTTAAAGTGAACATTGATCCGAGTCCGCGTTTCGGCAGATAAAGTGCGATTTCGAGTGAGCGATAGTGGGTTACGATTCGCACGATAAATAAAAACACAATTCCATTTGAAGCTCGGAGCTGCGGCGCGGCGGCCGTGTCCCGTGTACCTCAGCAGGCGTTCAAGATTTATACAGGGAGATGCGGAACAATATATCACGGCTCGGAACAACGCGGGAACTCGACCTATTCCTAGTGTGGCACAGCCACCGGAGCGATAGCGCCGATAGCAGATCCACTGCGCCGATACCGGACACTTTTGCAATGCTGCTAAAGTACTTTACTCTACTTTGATAATTAAACGCTTTTCTTAACTCGTTGCCTCCTTTCCGCTTCTAATGAATACACCGAAATGTGCTTCGGATTTAACATAACTTATGCATTTATTTCGAGTAATAAATAACCAAGCACGGAGACGCGTATTTTTCATGCGAGCATTATATAATTTATGGTCGACGATGATATCGCGACGGGTTCTTTTATTTTGAAATAGTGATGTTCAGAGTGTGCTCAGCGAGCGTTGCTAACGGGATATTTTGACGATAAATCAACGGTAGTCGATCGCCTAAGCGTTAGTGTGGGCGTAAAAATTTATTCGACAGTCAACATTGATATCTTGATTCCGCGACGTGGATCGCGCCGCGTATACCGGCCAGTAATACGACGAACGATCCATCTATCGCTTATCGCTCCTAAAACGTATAACGTCTTTTAAGCTGTCGAAGAGCGCGCTGATTCAAACATATTCCTATCACCTACCGATACGTTTACAGCATTATACACGTCGACCACCTGAAACAAAAGGAAAAGCGAAATTAATTTAAATGCCAATCATAGGGAAATTATAAAATAATGTTTTATGCTTGATCTTTGCAAATAACTCAAATTTAAAGCAACAAACGCATAGAAATATGCCAGTGAACGGTTCCACTTTTCTTGATAAGATAAAAAAGCTAAAGTATCTAATGTTTTTAGTTTAGTGTAATGATAAAAGTTTTATATTATAATCTTTTGTATATAGAGAGTTTTTATTCCTTAATCATAAATATCATGTTTATAACTAATACCAACAATTCCCTAATTAATTTCGTCAATTCAACTTCAATTTCACGTAATGAAAAAATGATTACTTTTACATCAGTGTAAGTAAATTTTTAACTTAATGCTTATTTGATAAAGGGCCGTATCTCTGGCGGGCAGGCTGCGTTGAGCCGGCTCTGAAATTAAGATGTAACATGATGCGAGAACGAGCAAGAGCTGCTAGATTTATTGCTATACCACTTTGCATATGCTGATTTACAAACTTCGAAGAATTGCTATAGAGCTGCTTTAGTGTGTCAATGATAGTTTAAGTGTGACAATGAAATAATCGTAAATAAAACATTTGGCATAGCAACGCTTTTACATAAACAAGCTAAGCAATGCGCATTTTATATTCATTTGAATATTAATAACACATATTTTAAAACTGTAAACATAGCAAGCGCTGCCAGATATTTAGTTGTTTAGCCAGTTGGTAGTACTTACGGTTTGATTTTATGCAGATCATAATCAAAATGGAAGATTACGGAATACTTATAACGACTTTAACTTACATAATACTACTATTTGGTATCTTTAAATTGATACACGGTGTTTTATGAAAAATATAATAAATAAAATAAATATGAAATTATTTCCGACAGAATATTATTATTGAGGTCTATCTGTTGCGATTTTTCTTTTATTTAGTTTATTCGTCTAGTTTATGTTACTTAACCGTTTGCCTATATCTAAAATTTAAATGCTTGAGAATATAGAAGCTTCTGCAAGTTTATAACAACCGGCTAAAGTTCAGTTATTTTCATACTTAAAAGTTGAATAGAATATAGTGTTTAACCCAAGATTAACTGAGAATAAAATAATTTAAATTATTAATCGATTAATAAAAATAGGTGGTAGACTCAGCTCTAGGTGTGTCACTTTATGCTGAATCGGGCCATTCGCAGCGGCGGGCGCGAGCGAGACGCCCGCCGCCGCCGTCCGCAGTCAGCAGAAAGAAACACATAACAGAAACGCTCGCGCCTTGTATTCTTACTCAGTTCGACTTACATGTATTTCTAAGTTTCAATTGTATTTATTTTCATCATAAATCTAAGATTGAATTATCTAGAATATTTAAGGTGCGATGGAAATTTCTTTGAATATCATCTTACAAAAGAAACTGAATTGTAAAAGGTATAATAATATTTAGTTGAAAAGCTACGTAAGGTTGACATTTAACGTTAAAAGTAACGTAAGTTAATTTGACAATTAAAAGAAGGTACATTTATATGAAAGCTTAAAGCGTTTAGATTATAAATAAATTTGGAATATCACGATAAAAAGAATGTCTGCCACGTAATGTTTGAAGAAGTAAAGCCTGAATAAAGAGCTTACCTTTCCTTCCAGCGAAAGTAATAAAGAACGCCAACCGAATAATTGATGCTATTGTTTTATACTCCTGTGCAAAGGATGAGCATCCACTAAGTCATATGGCACAAAATACTGTACATAGATACAGAATCACTGAGTATATTGGTCTTATTATTATTTACTTCACTTTTTTTTTCACGTTTTATAAGCTAGCCCTTGACCACGATCCCACCCGGAGAAGTGGAGATTTGGTCGAAAGATGGTCACTTTAAATGAACTAGCGCGTTTTGATTAGTGTTTTTTTTATTAATTACAAGTAGAATAATCCTCCTCGATACTCTTGTTTTTGTCATTTTACAGTGTAATATTTGAATAATTAAACCGACAAGTTTTAGTAATGTTTATTAACGACGCTACTTTTGAAAGATGTGAGTTGATTTTTATTAATATAATTATTTATTTTCGTAAAAATTATTATGATGAAAAGATAACAGACACGTGCCTTAATTATAATCAAGAGTGCGTAATATTGTTCATTTTTATTTTATTTTTTCAGTTGTCCGGTACGATCCGGCATCAAGAACAATGGAAGAAGGGAGGCGAGCGCTCCGTCAAGTGCGAGAGCCCATAAATCCAATAGGACGCGCAATTTGTTGAATTACAGCATGCGCCAGCCAGCCACCGGCCCGACGCGAAATTAGCTCCCACAGAGATAAATTGACGGCGGCCCGCTAAATAAATTATTTGGGAAAAACCGAGAGAAAAAACTGGCGTCTTTCCTTGATAAGGGTTGCGAGTATTCTGCCTTGGGTGTAATTAATATAGACCGGCTTATAAACTAGGAAATAGAAATATAATTTTTTAAGACCTCAGAACAAAAGGGGGTAGTCAGCGGGGATAATATTTAGATTTAAACCAATACTAACTCCATTCCAGTTGACGCCATCTTGATGTAATAAATATTCCCATCGCTATGTAACATCGGGATGGTTTCTGCATAAAGTAACAAAATATTCCATTGCGAAATTGGTAAAGAGTTAAGGTCTCATGTTAAAAAGAATTACTACCAGAAAAATTGCCTGTTCAATATTGTGTTTTTTAATTCTTTTTGCGTGACATTGTATCAAAAGCGATAAGGGGTTGACGCACCCTTTCTTTCAGCGGGATTAATCTTAGTTGTATATTCGAGATTTAGCCAGCAATAAGAAAGACGCATAGGTGGGCTTAGAGAGGGTGGGCGCAGCAAATTGTCTCAGCCGCGCCGCTCCCCACTGACGCGTACATTTTATTACATTCGTTAACGCATATTAGATGAATGCGTAAATACTTAAAATTTGCATGAATATTGTTAGATGATAGTTCCAACCGCAAAGGGTTGAGAATTCGTTGGAGTATTTTAAAACAAAAGCAACTTAATTTTGTATTTGTTCTAAATAATGCTTTAAAATACGTGAAATTAATCGACAAGAATACCTATACTTGGATAGCATAGAATTTATATAATTCTTAATAACAAAAAATCAATGAAAGAAGCATTATAGGTCTCCGTCTTGTATTTTGTATGTATTTCTTTCAATTTCAATTGCACTTACTTTGTATCTAATGAAATTATAGTCGTTTTAATGTACAATTGTTTATTTTATTTCAAATGTTATGTTATTTACATTTAATGTATAAAAACATAAGCGTTTCTTTATCATTTTTTAAGTTGTGTTTACAAATGCCGCGGCGGTGGCGGGGGATGATCCCACCCCTTACCTGCGCGGAGTGGCTATCAATTCACATCCCCGCCCGACGTATGCGGCCCCAAGTGACATGCTCCCTACAACGCGAGCGCCATTACTGTTTCCTTCATTGTTCAACAAGCGATACACCGCACAATAATGCCAATTTTTTTGTAGTTTCTTGAAGACGAGTTGAATGAAAATATTTAATAACTGGTCGTCGCCCTTGACTCCGGCCGCGCGGAATTTAAAAAATAGAATAATTAGTTGCCTATGTGTTCTTCCCGAGTATGTTTTACATCCATGCCGAATTTCATCGAGATCCGTTCAGCCCTTCTGGAGATACTTACTAACAAACATCCACCCATCCGTACGTTCATCTAAACAGTTGAATGTTGAAGTTGTATGATATTTTAATTTTCGTGATTTGTGTATGTAAACCTAAGTATTACTACATTCATGCATTAAGGTCATGGAGAACTTACTTTTTTGATGAGATATATCTTTTTGTTTGTTTTTTTTTTGTAATAATCTGTACAATTTTTAGTAGGTACTAAACACAATGTTCAAAATACATGTACATACATATTAAAAAGATTTAGAAGAGGTTTTTCGCGCAGGATTCCGATCCACCCCCCGCGCCGGTCGTTAATCAGGATTTTGGACGGGCCAAGCTAAAATTTTAGACGTTTTAAGCTGCGCGTAAATTTCGCAAAACATGACACGATGGGAAAAAAATCCGACCGAAAGTTACCTACTCCAAATATTTGCAGGCTTTTGTACGCCACGCTCTGAACACATTGAATACGAAATACAACTGTACATTTTTATGTCCACGTTTTTCCTTGTTGGCTATTTGTCCACGATTTTATGTATTATTTGTTTATGAAAATGTTAATAATGTGAATGTTAGAATATTATTAGTTACGAAATATTATTGGTACAAAGTTCCAGTACAAACGTAGTGATTATTGATGCATGATTATTTCCTAGTCAATTCAAAAGACCAAGAACAGCGTTGAAATGTCTTCCAGTAATAGAAACGGTTTGTTTTTCTAAACAAAAAGTAACAAAACATACGGAGAAGACCTCGTGACCTGTTCGGATATATTCCGGCATATCTTTCAAGAGCATCGCGGCTTACGCGGAAGCTCGCGACAGCGGCGCATGCGCAGCCATTTGTCGCCGAAATGAACTTTCACACTATACAGATTAATTTTATTTTAGTACGCGCCGAATGCGCTCGGACCGTTCGAGCTAATCCTTCCTTTTTTTCTTGTATATCCAATTTATTTCCGTAACACTTTGTTATATGTCACCATTAGGCCGGGTATGCGAGGGTTGCACCGTACAAACTATTTCGGGTTCAAACATTACATTAACGCGAGTAGGTTATGCATGTTCTTGTGTATGTTTGCAAGGACAGCGTGTTCGAAATAACATACCCAAATGGATCGCATAGCTATACGCTACTGGACCGAAGCCGAAGGACTTCGATCAATGTGGTCTTACAATATACAGGATGATTCTTAATGGACGGATCAAACGCTTTGTCGGATCAAACGATAAAAGAACTAATGATGTTTTGAAAATCGCGGAACATACTTGAGGCTGAAACGATGAGCTATTGATCCTTCTGTTAAGAAACATCCTGTATATGCAAAACGATTGACTATAGCAATATCAGAGAGTATGTAATATCTGAGGAGGATATTCCATTAGATGTTTAGAGCTTCGACTTCGTTTCTATATTTGACAATCTGTTAAACAATGCACACTGGAAATTTTGTAAACAAATTACAAGTTTGTCTGAACACGGGATTTAATAGAACAAAAACTACGATTTAATGTTACCAAGTGACGTGAATGTAACATTGTTATATTCGGAATTTAAGTTGAGTAGGTGTACGGACACAAAAGAAACTTGTTTTAGATGATAAAGATCTCGTAAAGCGCTCAAGAATTCACAGTGACTATGAACATATAAAATATTATTTACATAATTTTTTAACAATAAAGAAATCTAATTTGAGGTTTTCCACATTATCTGACGTAACTGTTTTGCGAGATATTTATTATTATTTGAAAGTAATTTATTTCTCCACATGTGAGAATTAAAGTAAACTAGACCACTGATGGTGGGTTTCTGAGGCGAAAATCTTGGTTTGAAATATATTGTTATCTCTGCTTTTTTAAAGATAATGATAGTGATGACGATATGCGCTATACAGAGATTTTGGTATCAGAAACCAATGATATGTATTAAGTCCGATATCATTACACGAAAAAAGCAAAGTAATCATTAATTAAGATAAAAAAAAAACAAAGTACAATTTAAATATAATCGGAATTCGAAAAATGAGAGAATTATTTTAGTTGCCAAATATTGAAACGAGAAAAACTATTTAATCCCTAAAACTTTTGTAGGTTGGTACGGGACGGTAAATCAGAACGCGGTTGTCGGCGGCGATGCCAAGGAAATAAGATGAGATTGACTTGGCAACATTGCAATTTATACAGACGCGAATGGAGTGCTCCCAAGTCGGTCTATCCTTACCTAAGATAATATTAATAGTGCATTCGTTTTAATGGTATTAAATTTAATGAGTAACTCTTTGATTGAGCCTCTTATTATGTTAAAAGTAATATAGATATGTTGGCTATATTTACGAAGACATTCAAAGATACAAATATATGTGAAGTGAGTGAATCTAACCAGCGTGGTTCACTATGGCATAGTCACTAGGCCCTATGAGGACATATAATAAGAGCTCATGACGCTATATAGTTCCTATTTTACGCATAGATAATTAAATTTTATATAGTAATTAAAACTTGCATGTTTTTACAAGCATATGCCTTGTAAAAGAAATAGAAGTTAAGACAGGATAGAATTGAATACATCAAAAAGATTCATTTGCTTTGATAAAAAAAAAAAAACTTTCTTTACTGTCATTGAAATTGAGCATTAAAAGACGAATACAGAATATAGAAATTGTGTTTTTTTTATAATACTCTTATAAAGAATAAAACAGTTCTCTGTGTCACGAACAAAAGGATCGTAACGCAAAACAATTTTGTTTAGTTCTTTAGATTACTCCGAGGACCGTTACTACCGGGAATCACGTGATCTCACAATAAACTATCTCTCATCCTTGTTATTTATTAAGCCTTGGTGTTCACACTATTTCTTCCTATCTATTTCCAAGGAAAAACAAAAATCGTGATCATGCATCAACGTCAGCGGAGCTCGTTACCGAAATCACGTTTATCATAGATCACATTTGTCTAAGGCTTTACATTTAGCTCTTTTACGAAAGAACCTAACTAAAACAACAAGTTCACGCAATACTCAACTCTTTACCTCGGTAAAAAGATTCAGTTTGGAATAACTTTCTGCAAAATTAAAACGAAATTACAAGAAAGGCGATACTGCGAGGTACTTACGAACCACACACGACGATTTTCGGAAGAACTAAGATATTATGCTTGTTATAAAATTACAAATTAAAAAAAATTGCGCACGACTTTAATCGCGCGGCAAAATATATAAGTTACTCACAGATAATGTAGCTTACTAATAGCAATTTTTTTTTAATTGGTCCAGTATTTTTGGACTTTATTCGTTACATGCAAAAATACAAATCTTTCCTCTTTATAATCTTATATATAAAATTCTCGTGTCACAATATTCGTTCCCATACTCCTCCGAAACGGCTCGACTGACTCTCATGACATTTTGTGAGCATATTGAGTAGGTCTGAGAATCGACCAACATCTTTTCTTAATCCCGCGCAGACGGAGTCGCGGGCGACAGCTAGTATTAGTATAGATGTAGTGCAGTACATACAAGCATTGAAATACAATGCTTGTATGATACCTAGTAATTGATTTTTTTTTTCCATCAGTTTCAAGATAGCTATAATTAGAATTCATTAACAACGATTTTTCTAAAGTAGTGACAAAGTAATGGGCTCTTTATTTTGATAGTTTCGCAAATGTTATCTGATATCTCTATTCCAATAAACTGTATAGAGTCGCGATAATTTCTAAGTAAACAAAGTAGGTATCAAGGTTGGTTCAAAGTTAATTCATTTAAATTTCATGCAATATAATAATGCATTTTGATTTAAACTGGAAGTATAAAATGAATTGTAAAAGGAGGAATATTAAATACGATCTATTTCAAATTTCCTATTTATTATTCTGAGTCATAAAGCTTGTGCAATTTCTCTGGTCGCGACGTATTCGCTTTGAATAAAGTCGCGTCTTTGAGTGCGATTCTTTTGAATGGAACGCCACAAGATGGCGCCGTCGCGAGACGCGATTTGTCAAAGCAAAACAAACAGAAATAGTGCTGCTTGACAAGTTTATAGCTTGAGAGCTTTCATCGTCTTACAACACAATTTTCGTGCACAACGTTATATTATGTAACTCTTTGCGAAATTTCCGAGCTGAAATATACATTCATGGAAGCTATGATAAAAACTTGAGTATTAAAAAAAGAAATACCAGCCCACTTCATTCTCTTAGGTTGGAATTCTGTAAATCTTTAGCTCTTGAGTAATTGACGAGACTAGAATTTGAAAGGCTTATATTTGTTAATCAAAGCAAAAAACAATGTAATCAAATTGT